GAGAGAGACAACTGTCAGTTTATCGAACCTTGTATTATTGAATCATGTCTCCATACCATGTTCGAGACCTCTTCCATGAACACATCTAGAGATATGTAATATGAAAAAATCGGTTCGTATGGGAGGTGCAACGCCCCCTGCACCTAGCGGTGTGAAATATACTTTAAATCCGATTCTCATACCCACCATATATAACACAACAAATTTCATATAGATCGGTCGAGCCGTTTAGGAGGAGTTCGATTTTTATATATTAGATAAGCACGACGCGAGAAGCATAGAAAAAATTTCGATGAAAAAAAATTATTTTCTTTCGAGTTCACAACTATCCTATCTTTTAAGTTGGAACCAACAATAAACACCCATAAAATTTCATTGAAATCGGTTAAGCGGTTTCGGAGATTAGCGTAAACGAACACGGTGACACGGGATTTTTATATATTAAGATACCCCACTATAAGCACTTACCACAGATACGTCTGCATACCAAGTTCGTGGGACTTATAGTTCCGAAGTTATAGGTGATGAAAAATTCCACGCCTATTGGATGTGCCACGCCCTCTTTTCCAAACTCTTTTATATATACCCTAATAGAAGAACCTACCATTAAAATGGCTGAATACGAAATTTCAAGTTCATGTGACTTATAGTTCTGGAGTTATAGCTGATAGAACATTCCAGGTCCCTGGGACGTGCCGAACCCCCTTTTAAAAACTCACTTATGTTAAAAACTCACCAAATTCCAATTTCACGTGCGTATGATTCCGAAGTTATAGCTGATACAATTTTCCACGCCTATGGGATGTCCCACGCCTCCTTTTTCAAACTCGTTTATATATGCCTTAAATACTTAAAGCGCCTACCGTAGATATGCCTGCATACCAAATTTCAAATTCTTCGGACTTATGGTTCCCAAGTTATAGTTGATAAAGGGGTGCACGCCTATGGGATGTGCCACGCCCCTTTTTTCAAACTCATGTACATATAGCCTACTGTAAGTACCTACCGCAGATATGTCTGCATACCTAATTTCAATGTCATGTGACTGGGGGTTGTGAAATTATAGCTGATAAAAATTTCCACGCCTATGAGGTGTACCACGCCCCCTTTTACAAACCCATTTATATATACCTTACTGTAAGCACCTACCATAGTTATGTCTGCAAACCAAATTTCAAGTTCATGTGGCTTATTGTTGCGGAGTTATAGCTGATAAAATATATCTATGGGATGTGACACGCCCACTTTTACAAACTCATTTATATATACCCTACTAATAGCACCTACCATATGTTTGACTGAATAACAAATTTCAAGTGCATATGATTTATAGTTTCGGATTTATAGCTGATAAAATATTCCACGCTTATTTTGTATGTACCCCGCCCTTTTTTACAAACTCATTTATTTATACCATACTATAACACCTACCATATATATGACTGTATACCAAATTTCAAGTTCATGTGACTTATGGTTCCGAAGTTATGGTTGATAAAAATTTTCACACCTATGGAATGTGCCACGCCCACTTTTACAAACTCATTTATATATACTCTACTATAAGCACCTACCATATATATGACTGCATACCAAATTTCAGGTTCATGTGACATGGATCCGAAGTTACAGCTGATAAAAAATTTCACGCCTATGAGAGGTGCCACGCCCCCTTGTCGAATCCCATTTTTTTCTCCCTATTATAGGCTCAAGTGTTATGTCAATACTCTGTCAAAATTTCGTTCGATTCTGTCCGTCCGTTTCGGCTGCAACTTGGCACATTCATACATACTTCCACATATATGTATGTAGTAGATATCTATCCTTCTCTTAGCGTAAAATAATTTTTGGGGATATCTCGGCCACAGGGCCTCCTATCGTGTAAGTTTTAAGTCCAAATATTTATTTTCAAGGTGCTGACATTTGTTCCAAATATGAACGAAATCGGTCCAGCCGTTTAGAAGTTTAGTGGCATTCAATATACCGAAAAGTCTATGAAATTGTGAAATCGTGACGTCCAGCATTCTTCATTTTTCGGCAACAACAAAAAATTTAAAATTTTTTTAAAAGGAAACGTCTTCCACACAGAAGATCCAAAAAAGTACTTTTTACAGAATCGCCGTCATATGAAAAACATTTCATTTTTATATATATAGATATTCTCATTTATACATATGTAGCATAGTTACTTAGCCGAATTACTTAGTTATTAACATCAATTTAGAGAATAACTATAGTAAGTGATCTATATTCCGCCATATAAGAAAGATTTCTTCTACAAAACCAAAAAAATAATAACCAAAAAGTTTAAAACTTTATCAGCTCCAAAAAAATATGTTCGTCCACTTCGGTAATAATTTTTACATTTCCTGAATTTTCTTACTTAAAACAACGACGGAGAAAGAAATGAAGTTAAAACAAAGTTTCTTTAAACAAGTTATTGAGCCTTAAAAATACTCAGTTTCCGTTGCACGCACAATTTCATTTTTCACTTATTGCTTACTATGACTTTTGGATACCGTAGACAATATTCTTGCATATTTGATAAAAATTTTATTGAAAAATTACAAACAAAAAATTTAATTAAATTATCCTAGCTCTTCACATTGGACCACTGTGCGTCGTTTGCGCAACCGGTTTATTTCTTAAGTTTAAAGTGTATTTTTCATAAAGCTCGAATAATTAAAGAAACATTTTAATGGAAAACAAAAATATAAGTGAGAACCTATGTGCTAATTTAAAAAAAGTGACGTTTTATCATTTCTTTGCAAAATCAGCTGACTTATTTGCATAGCCTCAACTTTCTGATTTATTTCCAATTATGATTTAATGTAAGCTTTTACAATTTTGTTAACTTTCGGCCAACAATATGGAAATGGAAATGGATAAACTGGGATGTAACGAATTGATCTTATTTTACGCAAGCCGCCGTTTTTAGCCGTTTTCAAGAAAAACAATTTTTTTTTTGGGCTATCATGCTAATACAAATGGCGAGATGTTTGTAGTTTGGCTGATTGGATGTTCAAAGACAGAAAGGCTTTCTTCGGTTGTCAACCATGTTTAAAAACAAATTTGGTGCTGTTGATATTTGCGGAAGTTTCATGAAACTCTTAGAAGAAAAAACGATTATTTTTTGCAATTATTTATCAAACAAAGACGGAAAATTATGGAATTATCCCGTTTCTTACTGATGAAGTTGTTTTAGAAATCAAAGCCAACTGTGTCGACCAGCAGCCGTATTCTAACTTTCGCTATCGCTAAAATATGCTAAAATGCGAAAGCTAACATTTTATCCGAATTTTTGGCTATCCCCAAAAATTGCGGTTCTGTCCTCCCTTTCGTTAAAAATAACTTAGCCTAAATTGTAGTATTTTACCCGGCCGCAAGTGGCGCTGTACAACAACAGCAGCTGTAAAAATTTGCTTAAATTTTAATGGTGGTAAATAGTCAATTTCAATGGTGATAAATAGTGAAAATGGAAGTATGTGATAGCAAAAAAAATACCAGCCTCAATTTGGATTACATTTCATCTCCTGTAGCATAGCTATGTTACAAAGACACTCGCGCCGATTCGCAAAGACTATTGATGAGCAGCCTTCGCAAAGAGGCAAATCCTTGAGAATCTACGGATTGCAATTTCGAAATTTTTTGCTCAAGGTGAATAGAGCTTTGAACATTATTTTCGTAGATTAGTTTCAAAAATATTCTTTTCAGGAAGTTACCAGTGGTTTTAGTAAATATGTTACAATGCAGCATTTGCATTCTGAATATAAATAATATCGGTGGACAATGTGGGAAAAATCTTCAAGAGTACATATAAATGTAAATGCAATAACAATATAAATTATAGAAATAAAAAAATATGTGACATACATTGAATAGAAGCGCAGCGAGCATGATCAAACTAAGTATATCCCACTCACCATCCATAATTTATTCTGCTTAAATGCCTTCATTATTGAAATGCCCTCGAACGTCATATCCACCCTATCTATCGTAGCTCCCTTGTGATGGAGCTCGTGGATTGTTAGACCATTTTTATGAAGAAATGATTTTTCACACTGAGCACATTGATATATTGGTTTGCGGTTGGTTTCGTGCGTTAGCCTGTGTTTTTTGTATGTATACGGAGTTAAAAAGCTTTGGTTACAGATGTCGCACGGAAATCTTTCCCGATTCTCATTGTGACAGAGCTCATGATTTTTTAGGGCACATGACTCCTTAAATGTTTTTGCTGGCGAAGGTAAATTCAACAAAGATAGAAATTAGTCCACAAGTTAAAAGGAACGGAAATACTTACGGCAGGCCTGACAAAGAAAAGTTTTTGGTTTATGACGTTGCTTATGTTTTTTTAATGAGCTTCTCTTCATTATTTTCCCACATTCTTCACACTTCACCGGCTCAGACATGTCCTTGACTTTCTTTTTTGTTTTCACCTCGGATTTTACTTTGTTTGTTTTCTTTACGTTTTTAGGTCTTGTATGAGCAAGATTGAGTTGTTTACTTTTTTTCGATAAGACCAGCCCAGCTTCATTTAAGTTATTGCCGCTCTGCATATCCTTATCCGATTCAACTAGAAACAATGTTGTTGTTGTAGTGTCAGTACTAAGTTTTTTATCAATATTTATTTCGTGTTCGATATCATTTGATGCAGATGTTTCATCATCATCCATAAAGTGTTCATTCCATTCTGGTGATACTTTTATATCCTCTACGTGATCCTTGTAAACAAATAGAAAATAATTATTGTTTAATTATATCTAAATCGTATTTGATATACCATATCTACAGTATCTGGCATCTTAGTTACTTCCATTAGCTCTTCATGTACTGGAACCCATTCAAAAGTGTTGGCTATACTTTCTATCTTCACTTTTTCCGTTTGTGTGCAACGTAATTCATTATCAGCCCTTCTCGCCTTTTCAATAAAATCATAAACGTCTTTAAGTTTTTGGGCACAATCAAGGCATAGATATTGCATCCGGGCATCATCGAGTCCATTTGGATCATCTTTCAAACTTAAATTAATTTGTGTACATTTACAAAAACACTCTTTGTATGATATATCCAAAGAGTCAACAGGCTGATACCAATCTAGCAGATGCACCCGATCTTCCGGCGACAAACAGGCACGGCATATATTTGATAAATCCATCTGAACTTTTCACCACTGCCGTATTGATAATTCAAGTCTTAGTCGGCAAAAAATAGTTTTGTAGAATGTGTGATTATATATTGGTAAGACAGAACAATTTGAAAATAGGGATGTCGAAAATATTTCGATATAAAAAATGGTACAATTTTAATGCTTTTAAAAGTCGACTGTCCGACAAATAGATTTCTTCGGTAGATATAGTGATGTTCCGATATCAGTGAAAACTATCTCCTGAAATTGAATCAAAATAAATTAAAATGTACTTTAATAAATTTAAGGAAAAATATTGTTATAAACTTACAAATTGGTCATAGGCAAAAGATTGTTTCTTTTGTTTACTTTTTACCGCTCTTCTTCTGCCATTGTTTACTATTCACGGTGCATTATCAAACATCAAAATTACTGGCCTACTACTATTTCAAGCAGAAGAAAGAACACGAACATTTTCTTGTGCATTTTCTTAAGAGCTGGATACTAAAGCCCTGTATGCAGCTCTCAAGAAAACGGTCAAGAAAAAATTGCCATTATTTCGTGTGTGTGTCCAAGGAATTTTGACATTTTTGATACTTCACAGCCTGTTGCCTCACTCTCACTCAACGGGCATATATTTCTGTTGCAAACCTGGGTTGCCTTGTGCTCTTTTTTCACAAAAAACTTTAGAAAACCGTAGTAGAAAGCGTAGTAAATTTCTTAAGAAAGTAAAAATAAGCTTTTTATTTTATAATAATAATAATATTTTAGAGGCCTGTATACAGCTCTCAAGAAAAGCAAAAACTCCATATAAAATGACGTACAAGAAATGGCTAAGAAATTTTCTTGAGTCAAATTTGCTTATGGCAGTACGCAGTTCTTAAGGAATTTACTACGCTTTCTACTACGGTTTTCTAAAGTTTTTTGTGAAAAAAGAACAGAAGGCAACCCAGGTTTGCAACAGAAATTTATGCCCGTTCCCTTATTTCTTGAGGAAAGAGTGAGGCAACAGGCTGTGAAGTATCAATGTCAAAATTCCTTGGACACGTACACGAAATAATGGCAATTTTTGTTGACCGTTTTCTTGAGAGCTGCATACAGGGATTAATTACTTGTATGTAAGAATACAAAGATAAATTATATGCATGAGAATATATACATAAATAAATCCATACATATGTGTATATGTATATGTATGTATGTACATATCTGCATGTGTGCATACAATCCTTTACGCGAAATTCTTAGTTGATGGAATTTTTATCCTATACATTTTTGCTGACCAAACAACCCGTTTGCCTGTCTAATCTGCTTGCCTCATTTGCCTCGCTCGTCTGCTGCTGCAAATGAGTGCCTCGCTCGCAACGACGCCCTCGCGAGGGCAGAGCTAATGAGGTCCTCGTTTGCTGGCCGCTCTACTCTTGCGCTGCCATCGTTTGCTTACTCGCTCGCTGGCTGCTCAGCGCGTGCGCTCGTACTTAACGAGTGCTCGTTTGCAAACAGCCTCGCCTGTTGATCGTGAGTTGCGCAAGCTCAGAGCAAACTAACGAGCGAGCGAGGGGCTAAAATGAGGCAAATCCGAACCCTGCTCTTGGCATTCAAAGGAAATTGACAACCACGCTGATGACTGGCTGTACTAAAAATAACTTCTAAATTTTCAGTTATATGTCGTTAAGCGAGAATTCAAACAAGCCGGAAATGAGAAATTTTTCTTGAAGGCGGAATTTACAGATAAATGCAAGTTTTTGAGTAATTTTTTAATTTCATAGATAGCTCCCAGTCCACCAGTTTGATTGGAAAACATTGTAACCATAATATCTGGAAATATCAGATGTAACAGGTCAGAATTAGTTTAAATTAGTATTACCTTGATAGATCAAAAAACATTTTTTGCATGTATTATTTGTGGGAATCTAATCGTAGTAATAAACATCGAATATGCGGAAATTTTGTCCCGTAGTAGTAGTCAGTATTCTCCCATCCTTAGACACGGATTTGGGCCCTTAGTTATGGTCAAAACGAAGTCGACACTAAAGTTAGTATCAGCTTTTTTGATAGGTATCCCATTAAAAATTATGTCAAAAAGCTGCAATTAACTTTAGAGTCGACTTAATATTTACTATAACTACGGGCCTTTGTTTCCGTGTCTAAGATTGGGAAAATACTGACTGCATGTTAGTAAGTTTGTTAAGGAGCCGAGTTTCTCTTCCATAGATGTACTGTGTAAAAATGTCTGCTCTTTTCGGTGGATACATTGGGATAGAGTTTTCGATTTTTTATGGATACTTTAAAGGCTAAGGCAGTGGCAATACTGCTGGTTATCAAGGTTCATAGAATACAAGGTTACGACATCAGCCATGGCCGCCATCTTGATAACGTGGATGGCTCAATTTTTGGGGTTGCCAGATTCCTAAAAAATTATCTTATAAAAATACAGTATATTAGTCAAAAATACATCACGCTTTATTTCAGATATGTGTAACCCTAATATTTACTGTTTGACAATTTGCGTTGAAGTTTTTACATTTTTCTGCGTCTTTGTGTTTATTTAAATTATTACAAATTTAAGTGCGCTGTTTTTGATTGCAGAAATTACGCTGAAAAAGGTAATTTTGGGTTTTACCGTATGTCTAAAGATGAATTGCAATTTCGGCCAATGTTATGAACGCTTTTTATTTAAAAATGCGCAAGTGCGTTCTGCTCACTTTCAAGAATGAAATCACCAGCAAATTTTAATACGCATTCGATTCACACTTTATTTGTCACTATTGCACGAGTATTATTATGTTAATCTAGTTTCACGTGAAGTTATAACATTTTATGTTGTTATAATAAGCTTTGCCACGATTTTATATCAAAAATGCCCATTTGATAAGGATTCCTAAAATATGCTATACGGAAACTATATTTTCTGTGTTTTGTGTACTCTCCTTCTTCGTAAAATATTTCAGCCAATCAGAACTCACTTCGCAACTACGTCATTGGAGGAAACCAAATTTTTTACAGCACCATGTCGTAAAAGTGTGTTTGCATTGTTCAACTTTGCGTTCAACATTTGGTTGAATGGCCTTTCAACTAATCGCTTTCAACAAAGTTGGTCGCCAGCCAACATTTAGCCATTCAACTTTTTTTTCGTGCAACCCTGCGTTGAGTTGAACGCAATTGTTGAACGCAAAGTTGAATAATGCAAACACTTTCTATTCTATGAACCTTGGCTGGTTATATTGTGGAAAAAAGAAAGAAAGCGACGTATGACGGCTACACAACAAACATCTTCAACGCGCATGCATACCAGTACATACATACATATGCACGTGCATACATATGTATGTTTGAATGCACGTATGTACATAAATACATATATATGTATTGCTCATTGCGCATTTCAGCTCTGCAGCTACCAAGCACTATATAAATGAAGCAAGTGTGCTTCGTATAACTACATCCATTCGTACATATGTACATATGTAAAATTGTTTGTATTGCTACGATTATCCTCGACACCTTGAAGGATTTTCCAAATATCTTACGGCTCGTATCGCTGGATTGTTAAATAAATGCTCACGATGACCAAACTGCAGTACAATTAACTTTATTGTACAACAAACACTTTACAATACTTGTTTATGCGATCACAACAATTAACAATACTTGTTAAGGCAACTAAAACACTTTACAAAACTTGTTAACACAACTGAACTTATAGCTGGCTTATTCGTAACTCAATTTACTTGTCGCCTGCTGACTTGTAACTAACTCTCCTAGCTGTGTGGTGGCTCTTATATACCTGCGCTCGCACTCCTGGCAACTCTAGAATGTTCTGAAGTTCATCGCGCATTCTCTTTCTCTCGCTGTTCGCAGTGTTCATCCACTTGACGTTTCTGATTGTGGAACATTCTACTTCATTCCTCGAACATTCTGCCTATTTCTCGTTGTTCGCCTCGCGTTGCCGCAGTATTCACCACACTGCCCTCCACCTAAGTGTGATCGTCCCGATCAGACACACTTGCTGTTCCAAACGCTGCAAGCCTCTCCAAGTGGACCACCTTCATCTTGTTTCTTGGTCTCCCAACGGTCTGGATTCGATACACTACGTCATTCAGCCGTTTGGCGACCTTATACGGACCTTCCCAGTTGCATTGTAGTTTTGAGGACAAACCTTTCTTCCGTTGTGGATTGTACAGCAACACTAAGTCTCCCTCTTGGAAACCCTCGGAGTTCATTGCCTTATCATACCTGGCCTTCATCTTGTCACTCATAATTTGAGTTCGCTGTCTCACAAGAGCATGTATCTCTGTCAGCTCCTCTTCCAAGATGTTGGACGTCTCTTTCCCAATTCTCCTTGCATCGCCAGTTACTCCAAACTTCAGGTCACCAGGCAAATGGAGCTCACTGCCGAAGATTACCCTTGCAGGAGTTTTACCCGCTGTTTCATGCACTGCTGACCGGTATCCCATTAGGAACAAGGGTATGCGGACATCCCAATCTTTCTGATTTTTGTCTACGACCTTCCGCAAATGCTCTTCCAGGGTTCGGTTGAACCGTTCCACCATGCCATCTGATTGGGGATGAAGAGCCGTTGTTCGAGTTTTCCGGATACCCAGTATCTGGCACATCTCTTGGAACACCGCCGATTCAAAATTTCTTCCCTGGTCAGAATGCAGCTCTATAGGTACACCGTATCTCGCAATTCAATTTTAGGTGAATACCTCCGCTACTGTTTTAGTTTCCTGGTTTGGAATCGGGTATACCTCCGGCCATTTGCTAAAGTAGTCCATAACCAGGACGTATTTGTTTCCCTGTGCGCTCATAGGAAATGGGCCTGCTACATCCTTGGCAATCCGTTCGAATGGTGCACCTGAGTTATACTGTTTCATCTGGCCATGACTTCTGGATTTCGGGCCTTTAGCTGCAATACACTCCGCGCAGTTTTTAATCCACTCTGCGACCGATTGCCGACATCCAACCCAATAGAACCTCTGCTTAATCTTCTCCAGGGTCTTCGTGATTCCCAGGTGCCCTTTACTAGGACCATTGTGGAATTCCTTGAGTACATCCGGAATTCTTACCCTTGGTACCGCTATTAGGTTGCGGGAGCACTGGCCATCTTCGCTTTCCCATACCCGGTGCAAACAGCCAGATATTACTTTTAAGCTGTTCCATTGTGCCCAGTACGCCTTTGCGATGGGGATTTAAGCTGCCATTTGCTCCTTAGTTGGCCTTCTGTCCTCCAGTCCATGCATCAAAAGCTCCATATCTGGATCTTCCTGCTGACACTTTCGTAGCTGTTCTTCCTTCCACTCTTCCGCTGGTGTTATTGTCGTTAGCCGGACGTCTATAATGTCTTCTTTGCCCTCAGCTTTTGAGCAGTGTTTACATTCCAGGCTACATGGTCGACGGGACATGGCACCAGCATTTCCGTGGACACTTCCCTTGCGGTGCTCAATAGCGAAGTCATAACTTTGCAGTCTCTCAATCCACCGAGCTAGCTGTCCTTCTGGATTCTTAAACTGTAGTAGCCACTTCAGCGCTGCATGGTCCGTTCGAAC